GATTTTCAAGTTTAAATTGATAATATTGTGAGGTTAGGTAATTTTTAAATTACGTAAGCTTCTTGTTTAGTTACCAATATGATAAAGATAATTAAGTATTACTAGCAACATGGATAATTACCATAATTATTGTTCCATTTTCACTTACATTTATTGAGGTCAACATCACATGTGTACATGTATAATTTTAGAAATCATAACACGGGAGGTGATATTTACATAAATACTGAATGTCATGCCTTAATACTTCACAAATAGTAAACAAAATACCTGTTTCAACGAAGCACACCGATAATTGTTGTCATCTTCACTTCTTTGTTTTGAAATACAAGTTTATGTTACAAAATTTCTCAATTTTCTTGTACATGGCGGCCATTTTGTCATACTTTCTCTTTAGTTCTATTTATAATCTCAACTCAAGGTCAGATTGATACAGATGTTTTCTGAGGCAAAGTTGTTGAATGGACTGATTGATATGCATTATTTAATGATCTGAATTGTATATCTTTCATAAATTTCAATAAAAATTTCATTCATTGAAAAAATTCATCTTGAAAAGGTATCTTGTAGTATCTATGATTTTTCCCACAAACCGGAAAGATGTAAAAATAATATCCGTACTGTAAATTAAACTTTTATCTTAATCAGCTAATTTTTGTGAAAAAAATACAAAATTTTTAGCTCACTTTCGTTTCTTTGTGAAATATCTTACACAATAAAATGTGCAAGTCATTGTCAAGAACTGAAATATTTTACATTGTATTTCGGAAATGACACAGTCTCCTTTTTGATGGTGTTACGAAATTAATGGAAGAATCCATTATTGAATGGGGAAAGCAACTTCACTGAAGCTCTCAAATTTGTGCTATTCTGATTGACTCTGTTTTTGAATTAACATTCACATTCAACAATCTTTCTAATGCTTTAACAGAAAAATCTTCATAACAATGTCTGTTGAGACAAAAAATACAAGATACACTATCTCAATTTATCCCTACAAAGAAAGTCTATATAAAACCTTGCAATAAAAAAACCCCTTTAACCCCCAAAACAGAGACCAATTTGCAACTCTAGACCATACTTTGTAGAAACCAACAAGCTAATGCCTTGTGTGAAATATCTAAGCTCTAGCCCTTTCCATTTTGAAGTATAAGAACTTTTAAGTTTTTTCTTTTAGTTGCCATAGCAACCAGAGTTTAGCATGGAATGGAATTCTTTGAACAATCTTGATAGAGCTTCATGCAAAGAGTATTCCTGCCAAGTTTCATTAATTTTGGCCAAGTGGTATTATAAAGATGTCGTTTGAATAAAATGTGGACGCCGGACACAAATTGATTGGCCATCCTAAAAGCTGCCTGCACCATGTGCAAGGTGAGCTAATAAAGACCCCCGGGCGGGGCCAATTTTGAACAATCTGGGTAGAGGTCTACCAGACAATGCCTTATGCAAAATATCTATGCTCTAGGCCTTGTGGGCCTTTACAAGAAGATTTTTTTAATTTATTCTTATAATTCCTTTTGGTTGCCATGGCAACCAGATTTCTGCATGGAATGAAATTCTTTGAACAACTTTAGAAGCCCTTCACCCAAGAATCAATCCAGTTTGGTTGAAATTGGACTAGTGGTTTTTCACAAGAAGATTTTATAAGTTCACTATATAATCTATTAATCTATAGAAAACACACACACATCACACACACACACTTTTTTAAGTTCACTATATAATCTATTAATCTATAGAAAACACACACACACACGCATGCACCAAAACACACACACACACACACACAGAGGTGAATCGCTATATGCCACCGCATTGCAGATGCTGCGGTGGCATAAAAATTCCTAGGAAAAATAAATTATTCAAAATCATGGTTTGGTCATTATAAATGATTCTGTATAAACAACAAGATATGTTTGTAAAACATGTATGCCCCCTATCAGCAGCCAATTAGTCATGTGATAAGGTTATTATGCATGACTTCTGACCAGGTGATCAAACAATTAATAAGGGTTATCAAGTATCTACTGGTCATGACCTTAACCTTTGACCCCTTGACCCAAAACTCAATAGGGGTCATCTGCTGGTCACGACCAATCATCATACAAAGTTTGAAGTTCCTAGGCCTAAGTGTTTTTAGTTAATTGATCGGAAACCGTTTTAACATACAAGGTCAATGTGACCTTGACCTTTGACCCCTTGACCCCAAAATCAATAGGTTATCTGCTGGTCATGACCAATCACCATACCATGTTTGAAGTTCCTAGGCCAAAGGGTTCTTAAGTTATTGATTTGAAAGAATTTTTACCTACAAGATCAATGTGACCTTGCCCTTTGACCCCTTAACCCCAATATCAATAGGGGTCATCTACTGGTCATGACCAATCACCATACCAAGTTTGAAGTTCCTAGGCCTTAAGGTTCTTTAGTTATTGATCGGAAACCGTTTTTACCTAAAAGGTCAATGTGACCTTGACCTTTGACCCCTTGACCCCAAAATCAATAGGGGTCATCTACTGACCATGACCAATCACCATACCAAGTTTGAAGTCCTTAGGCCTAAGGGTTCTTTCGTTATTGATTGGAAACCGTTTTTACCTACAAAGTCAATGTGACCTTGACCTTTGACCACTTAACCCAAAAATCAATAGGGGTCATCTGCTGGTCATGACCAATCACCATACCAAGTTTGAAGTTCCTAGGCCTTAAGGTTCTTTAGTTATTGATCGGAAATCGTTTTTACCTACAAGGTCAATGTGACCTTGACCTTTGACCCCTTAACCCCAAAATCAATAGGGGTCAACTGCTGGTCATGACCAATCACCATACCAAGTTTGAAGTTCCTAGGCCTAAGGGTTCTTTTGTTATTGATCAGAAACCGTTTTTACCCAAGAAGTCAATGTGACCTTGACCTTTGACCCTTGACCCCAAAATCAATAGGGGTCATCTACTGATCATGACCAATCACCATACCAAGTTTGAAGTTCCTAGGCCTTAAACTTCTTTAGTTATTGATCGGAAACTGTTATTGCTTACAAGGTCAATGTGACCTTGACCTTTGACCCCTTGACCCCAAAATCAATAGGGATCATCTACTGATCATGACCAATCACCATACCAAGTTTGAAGTTCCTAGGCCTTAAGGTTCTTTAGTTATTGATCGGAAACCGTTTTTGCTTACAAGGTCAATGTGACCTTGACCTTTGACCCATTGACCCCAAAATCAATAGGGGTCATCTACTGATCATGACCAATCACCATACCAAGTTTGAAGTTCCTAGACATTAAGGTTCTTTAGTTATTGATCGGAAACCGTTTTTGCTTACAAGGTCAATGTGACCTTGACCTTTGACCCCTTGACCCCAAAATCAATAGGGGTCATCTACTGGTCATGACCAATCACCATACCAAGTTTGAAGTTCCTAGGCCTAAGGGTTCTTTAGTTATCACTCGGAAACCATTTGGTCTACGGACCGACGGACCGACAAGTGCAAAGCAATATACCCCCTTTTCTTCGAAATGGGGGCATAATTATTTGTAACAGAGAAAACAATAATTTGTAACAGAGTTACCAACGTCCCCTGCCTAAGGAAAGTTTTATATGAAGCATAAAATTGTGCTATTTCAAAAGATTGAGGTATGGATCTCAGGACTTTCAGTCCAAAATTATGATCAATGATAGATCTGCAAATGCAACAATAATCTATAATGTTAAGCTTTGACCTCTAAGTGTGATCTTGACCTTGAAGGTAGGGCTGCAGGTGTTGTGCATGACATATTGTCTAATTATTGTAACTATTTGTGCCAAGTATTTTCAAAATCCCTTGAACTATGAAGAAGTTTTAGATCGGACACAAAATAAATCCTATTACAGACTATGTTAATCTTTGACCTCTTCGTGTGACCTTGGAGGTAGGGACCCATGTTTTGCACCTGACATATTGTCTTATTATTGTGATTATTTGTGCAAAGTATTTTTAAAATCCCTTGATCTATGAAAAAAGTATGGACTGGACACAAAATATACCCTATAACAGACTTTGTAAATCTTTGACCTCTAAGTGTGACCTTGACCTTGGAGGTAGGGGTGCAGGTGTTGTACTTGACATACTTGTGCCAAGTTATTTCCAAATACTGATGAAGTTCTAGATCGGACACAAAATATACCCTATAACAGACTATGTAAATTTTTGACCTCTAAGTGTGACCTTGAACTTGGAGGTAGGGATGCAGGTGTTGTGCATGACACATCGTCTTATTATAGTGAATTTTTGTGGCAAGTATTTACAAAATCCTCTGATCTATGAAAACGTTATGGACCACACACAAAATAAATTCTATAACAGACTATGTTAAACTTTGACCTCCAAATGTTACATTGACCTTGGAGGTAGGTGACCGGTTGTTGACCATGACACATCGTCTCATTATTGTGAACAATTGTGGCAAGTATTTACAAAATCCCTTCAAAGATAAGAAAGTTATGGACCAGACACAACATATACCCTCAAATAGACAATGTTGACCTTGAATGAGCAAGTGCAACCTTGACCCTGGAGGTAGGGGTCTGGTTGTTGCGTATGACACATCGTCTTATTATGACAAACATTTGTGCCCAATTTTTTCAGATTCCTTTGATAAATGACAAAGTTATGGACCGGATACCAAAGTATGATGGACGGACGGACAGATGGACAGACGGACGGACGGGCGGAGCCTATTTCTATATCCCTCTTTTTTCTTTATAAAGGCAGGGGACAATCAAATACATAAATAAATAACAAAGTTATGACAATCTTAGCTAAATTCAATAACTTCACATTGATGGCCAGGTCATTTATGGGTCATAGTCAAGTTTCAATTGAGATAGGACACTTTTAAATGCCTTATAACATTCAGTTTTTTGTTTTTTTCCATATTCTTATAGAAATAATCATGAATGTGGTGGTAGGTTACAAGTTAAACCATCATCTGTTGAAACAATTCAACATTACACATACATTGAAGTTCAAACCCTGCTGATTCAAGGTCATTCATATCTCCCTCAGCTACTCCAAGTGGTTTTTCTCCGCCTTTATTGGACTGAAAGTTAATGAAATAAACATCACTTATACAACATAAATTAATTTTAACTGCCTATTAGGTAACTATAAACGATACTGACAAAGAAAAAGGTTACAGGAGCTGGTTATTTTTCTTCAGTTTGTTATCTATTGTCTCAGATACAATGCCAGGCAACCAATGGACTGTCACCAGTGAGTTAAACATGAAAATTGTCTTTAATCATTAGTCAAGCCAACAAAAATGAAAAAATAAAATCAAAAAATAATTTTTGTTTTCTGACCAAAGCCACTCATTTCATATTACAATTTTAAACTATTCAAATTGGCTTGCTAGAATCAATACAATGACTGTTAGACAAAATACATTACAATAAAGCTTTTGATTCAACATGGGTGTCAATGTGGCATGCAAGTGATACAAAAATACTATCATGATCATCGCTTGTAAAATGCTTATACTTGTAAAATTTATATCATCAGTATAACATTCCTGGATGCCTCTAGATGAAAACCGATTAGGAATCAGTTGATACTTATCACTTGATACTTATCACTCTAAAAAGCAAGTCTGCTTACCTATATTCCCAAAATAGATTGATATTAAAGGCTTTTTCTGGAGTTCCAATGGTGATTTGTCCAAGCATTGGATAAAATATGCTTACACCATTCAAAAATGTAATAAAATATCAGCTATAAAATAAACATGTAAAAACATGGAGGGAGAATATTTTTTATTGCTTACCTCTCTGTATTTCTGTAAGTATTGCTTCAATGGCTCTACATAACTATCAAAACCTAATGTTGACATAGCAAATAATATATCTTCACCATTTATAGTTTTACGCTTTTCTTGATGGCATCTTTCACTGGCTCTGTTACATAGTTAAGGGGGGATAAGAATTTTTAATTGTATGATTGAATGACACACACAAAGTAACTTCCCCTTACAATAATAGAAACAGCTAGTTTTTTACACAGCTTTAATAATCAAGAAAAATTAAGCCTAGTTTTACAAACATAACAACAACATTTTATGTAAACTTTGTTGCAGTGTCCTTGTACAATAAAAACTCTCCTTTTACATTATTATTATTCAATCACAACAACATATCACAACATATTACACATATATGAGTCTGCAGCAAAACCACACAATCATAGCCTTTATACAGAGGATATTGAATGAGTGTAGTTTAATACTAAATTCATTGAACGAGTTGAATAAAATCATATTATGCGAGCCTCTGGCGAGCATAATATTGTTTTATTCAACGAGTTCAATAAATTTAGCATTGAATCTACATGAATATAATATTCTTTTTATCACATATATAAAATAAGAAAAGTAAACTGTTAAAATGAGTAATTTTATAAGAGTATCACTGAAGGCAATAGATTATCCACAAAACTGAAGATTAATGATTAGTCAACAAAGGCTGTAAGAGCAAAAGTAAACCAGTGAGATGGGTTCCAGTAATCCTTAACTTGACCAAAACTTAGGGGACAACTCAAGGTATCTACAAACCAAATATGATAGACATCAGTCAATGAATAAAGACTGCATATCATTAAAACTGAATCTAGTGATTAGAGATTGACATATTGAAAGGATACTCGCTGGTTATGAAACTTATAAATTCAGAAACACACTCTTGTACACACTCCTTTGCATCTTTAGCTATCTGAAAGATATACACTTTATCACATGTTTTTGCATTGTATTTGTAAAGTTTAAAATATTTCTAGATGACCTTGATTGTGAAGTAAACTTGATTTGAACATACATGTACATGTATCTTGAACTTGCTTCATAAAACTAACCAATATATTTGTCATATGATGAAATGAGAAAACACAGCCAATACCTTAGTTTGTCTTTTACATATTACAACTGGCACATAGGTAGACAAGCAAACACTTTAACTGCAAAAACTCTTCTCTCATTGTTGAATAATTATACTGTTATACTTTACTATACTGTCACTCACTGTTTCTTACTTTACTAAATGTATAGTATAAAAAATCTGTACCTCAAAAATATTGTCTTATATAGCAAACATGATGCTCAAAAGAAGAATTATGAATAAAACAAGTAACACAAAGCATATATCAAACTCACACATAACATGTAATATATACATTATATACATGTATATATATTACAATATTACATGTTATGTATGAATTTGGTATCTTAACACTTATTTATAATGTACACAAAATATATTGCTGTATAAATGTAACAAATTCTGGGATGTTTAAAACTTAAGTTACGCGAAAACTGATGACTGAGCATATAATCTCTATAAAGCTGCATGACTTCAGATTCACTGTCATCTGGGGATTGGCAGCTCACATTTATTGTGATTGATAGTGAAATCCTTTCTATGGTCATTTGTTCTGTACCTCTGCTCCAGCATGTTCAGAAGTTATCACTTCCTTGTAAAAGTGAAGGCAACTAGTACTAGTAAACTGCTTGACAGCCTTCCCAGTAACAATTAAGTGACTGAACTGTGCCCTGGTAAATTCAATGTGGCTTACTGTTGTGATTTAGAGCGAAAACTTCTAACACCTTCATGCTAATTTTCATGAAAATTTTGAAAATGTACTTAAAAGTTAATAATTGTGAAGTGAATAAATGTAAATTATTACATATTGCAAATGGTACTAGCAATCCCCATAAATTACTAAACAAGAGGGCCATTATGGCCCTGGGTTGCTCAAGTCAAAATTGTTATTCTTCAATGTCAGTAATAAGGTCACATTGGGTCTGTCGTTAAGAAGCTCAAGAATTTTAAAATATATGAAGATGTCTGCTACAAAATGTTTCATGACAAATATAACCAAAATTCTTGGGCATTGTAATTTCAAACAAACAAATAATATTTGCTGATGTTGGACACTATTCAAATCTAGAGAAGTGATCCCTCAGAAGCATTTTAATCACAACAAAATTAAATGAAAAATGCAGACTAGGTTTGATGTAATCTGTGAGAATTAATAAACAAGAGGGCCATCCGGTGGCCCTGAAATCGCTCACCTGTATATAGGCCCCTGGGCCAATGCCAATTTTAAACCAGGGTCTTTTATTTGAACAAACTTGGTAGACAGCCATTAGAAGATGTTTCATGATAAATATCTAAGCTTTAACTCTTTGGGGTTTTTATGAGAAGATTTTTTAAAGTTTTTACTATATACATATAGGAAAAAACAGTGACATCCCCCCCCCCCCCCAGGAGGGGCCAATTTTGACCCCAGGGCTTTAAACAAACTTGGTAGACACTAACTAGAAAATAATTCATGCTTAGTATCTAAACTCTAGGTCTTTTGGTTTTTTAAAAGAAGATTTTTAAGTAAAAATAAGTTTTTACTCTACAAAATAATGAAAATCAATGACACCCTTGGGCGGGGCCAATTTTTACCCCAGGGCTTTTATTTGAACAAACTTGGAAGAAACACACTAGAAGATGTTTCATGCTTAATATCTTAGCTCTAGCTATTTAGGGTTTTTAAAAGAAGATTTTTTTAAGTTTTTACTATATACAGTCGAGACTGTCATATGTGACTTTCCAAGGGATCTTCAGAAAAAGGTCACATATGACAGGGAGTCTCTAAATACAGTCTCAAAGACAAGATTGCATTTGAGAAAAATGCTATGCCACCGCATTAATACAACACTAAATAGTAGTGTAGGAACAGATTTTTTTTGTTTCTATACAATTTTGAAGATTGTCATAATGCATAGATCCCTGACCTATCTAATTCTTAATATCAGATTAGTGGTTAAATCTGTTGTTAACTCAATAAAAGATCAGAGTAGGAATATATCAATGCACTCGAGTCTAGTGAATTTGGTGGTGAAGGTCATATTTCACACAGCCTAAATTTCATGACTACATCAAAGGACAACACAGTAAGACACTTTGTAAAAATCTAGGTCAGCTGAAATCAAAGTTCACTTTACATCTTAATCTGTGCACATGGTTCAAATTTCATAGCTGTACATCAAAGGACAAGAAAGTAGGTCACATCATCAAAATCTAGGTCACCTGATATCAAAGTTCAATTTTACAACTAAAACTGTGCACATGGTCAAAATTTCATTGCTGTACATCAAAGGACAAGAAAGTAGGTCACTGTCCCCTCGGGCAAGGCAAAATTTTGGACCCAAGGATTTAATTCAAAACAATCTTGATACAGGTCCACCAAACAACATTTCAAGTCTTCAGACAAAAATATTTTTTATTTTTTTACTATATGTACATAATGAAAATCAATGACCCCCGGGGCGGGACCAATTTTGACCCCAGGGCTATAATTTGAACAATCTTGGTAAAGGTTCACTTCACAAAGTCTCATGCCATATATTTAACCTCTAGCCTTTGTCAATTCAGAGAAAAAGATTTTTCAATTCAGAGAAGAAGATTTTTCAAGTTTTTACTTTATACATATAAGGAAAACTATCGCCTCTGGGGCAGGGCAATTTTAACATTAGGGGCATAATTAAAACAACTTTAGTAGAGGACCTATAGATGATATTATATACCAAATATCAAAGCTCTAAGCCTTGTACCTTCAGACAAGAAGATTTTTTAATTTTTTACTATATGTACATAGTGAAAATCAATGACTCCTGGGGGTGGGGCCATATAATCTTGCTAGAGGTTCACTACATAATATTTCATGAAAAATATCTTAACTCTAGCCTTTGTAAATTTAGAGAAGATGATTTTTTTAAAGTTTTTACTAAATACATATAAGGAAAACCTTATGGCCACCGGGGAGGGGCTAATTTTGACACTAGAGGCAAAATTTGAACAACTTTAGTAGAGTACCTATAGATGATATCATTTAACAAATATTAAAGCTCTAGGCCTTGTACCTTCAGACAATAAGATTTTTTTATTTTTTACTATATGTATACATTGAAAATTAATGACCCCCGGGGCGGGGGCAATTTTCACCCCAGGGCTATAATTTGAACAATCTTGCTAGAAGTTCACTTCACAATGTTTCATGCAAAATATCTAACCTCTAGCATTTGTCAATTGCTAGAAGAATTTTTTTTAAAGTTTTTACTATATACATATAAGGAAAACCAATGACCCCCGGGGCGGGGCCGATTTTGACCCCAGGGCTATAATTTGAACAATTTGGGTAGAGGTCTACCAGACAATGCCTTATGCAAAATATCTAAGCTCTAGGCCTTTTTGGTCTTTACAAGAAGGATTTTAAGTTTTTACTATATGTACATATAGTGAAAATCAATGACCCCCGGGACAGGGCCGATTTTGACCCCAGGGCTATAATTTGAACAATCTTGGTAGATTTCTACCAGACAATGCCTTATGCAAAATATCTAAGCTCTAGGCCTTTAGGGTCTTTACAGGAAGGTATTTTATGTTTTTACTATATGTATATATAGTGAAAATCAATGACCCCCGGGGCGGGGCCGATTTTAACCCCAGGGCTATAATTTGAACAATCTTGGTAGAGGTATTCCAGACAATGCCTTATGCAAAATATCTAAGCTCTAGGCCTTTTGGATCTTTACAAGAAGATTTTTTAAATTTATTCTTATAATTCCTTTTGGTTGCCATGGCAACCAGATTTCTGCATGGAATGAAATTCTTTAAACAACTTTGGAAGCCCGTCACCCAAGGATCAATCCTGCCAAGTTTGGTTGAAATTGGACTAGTGGTTTTTCACAAGAAGATTTTTTAAGTTCACTATATAATCTATAGAACACACACACACACAAACAAACAAACACACACACACACACACACAGGTGAATCGCTATATGCCACCGCATCACAGATGCTGCGGTGGCATAAAAATTAAATTTAAATACCATCTATCTGTCTATATACCATTGTGACTTAACATACATAATTGTGTCTAACCAAATGCAAATAAACATTGCAAATAAAATTTTTAATGTAAATAAAATAAGAATCCATGTAAAACAAATATATTCGCATGTATATCATATAAAATTTTATTTTATTTTTTGTATTAAGATTTAAATTGAATCTTTATGGTATAAAATAAACTGGAATTTAATGCATTCAAATCATTGAAATAAATACCTTACTTGTTTAAAAGTTAAACATATCCATATCCAAAGTTTTTTCTGGTTTGGTATCAATATTTTTTCCGTATTAATTATGCAGCCATAGAAAGGTAAATTAAAAAAATGCTGCCTAAAAAAATCTTCTGTTGGCACTCTATAATAAAAAAAAAATCTGACACAAGTCTTTATCCAGTTAACTCATGTCATTATGTACATTACACACATCAATTGCATCATGCTTACCATATATGGCAGTAGGGAACAGCCGCTACGTCACTCGATACCTGTTTACATGTTAACTGTGTAATTAAACCTGGCAGAGGTGTGTAGAGTTTGTTTGCTAGTGGATTATAATTGGACTTAATTATTTTGGCCCTCTGGGTGTTAAAATAGGTATCATTTATCTGATTAACGGACAATTAAAAGGTGTGAAAGTCGTTGAAATCAGACAAAACATTGTATTGGGACCAGACAATTAGGCTTGCTTGTCACATATGACAGGGAGTCGTTTAATCAGACCATTTACATAGGAAAATACGTTGGGAGTACTGAAACAAGGTCGGATAAGACAGGGAGTCGTTGAATTCAAGGGGTCGCTAAGACAGT